TCACTGAGAACTATCAAAATGTTAATCAGACAATAAGTAAGTTGAAGATGTGGACGTGAACAATTAAATTGAATGGGGATTTAGCAAAAGCTAAAGGTAAATCCACTTCAGTTTCCTGAACTTTGTTTTCTTTTGTAAAGCTATGTTTACTTTGAGTTATCATGACTGTTTTCGTATTTATTATTTTTCCATGATACAGTTTTATAGACATATGGATTCCTCTCTCCCTTTCTCCTTCCCCGTTTTCCCTCCCACCATTTCCCCAATGTTATTATAGTGGAAAATATGGTTTTAATTGCATTAGGAGAATCACCCTTCTGGATTCCAAATTTTTTTAAAAAAACTATCATTGAAAACTCTTCTATTTTTCATTTTTGTTCTCTGTAAATGGGCAAGTTTATATTTCTGTCATCTTAAGTTTCCTCAGTTACTGAACAAGTCACCTGTCAACATTTTGAACTCTTTTGAGGATTATTCTGCATTTATCCTACCCAAATTAGTAATGAGTGTTAACGTAACACTGCTATCCATTTAGGCTATTGATTATGGATACAAGGAAGGTACCATGATTCATAATCCAGTCAGTAATATTCTTATCACTCAAATTTATGTTAAAATGTGCTGTGGTGATGTTCATCAAACACACAAATTCAGAAAGAATATTGAACTGATTTCTCAAACAAGTGCTTGTGGTTAAGCTAATGTAGACAAAACCACAGTCATTCCATCCTGTGGGGCCACTATCAGAATGATGGCCATTGAATATCTGAAGGGTCTGTGTACTGAATAAAATCATACATTCACTCTGTGACCCATCTATTTTGTTTTATTCCTGTCCTATTTCCCTAGGTGTATAACTGCAAGACATTTCAAGGGCTAGAACTTCATTAACAAAATACTTAACAAATTCTTTTTATTATAGTCCTGGGAATGTGCAAAAAGTGAATTAAAAACACTTTGGAGGGATACTAAGCAAAGCCAACAGGATGCCCTAGGTATAAGGAAGCATTAGAGTTAAAGATGCACACAGAACAGGTGTGTATTGGGGAGCAATTGGAAGTGAGAAGCAGTAACAGTTCAGTTTCTATTGTTGACTCAAGTAGTAAAGTAATGCAATTTAAGGATCACTCAAACTAAGATTGCAAGCTTTTCCTGGGAATAACATTTTTTTTTTTTTTTGTAATGCGTGTGTAGGTGACTGATTCAGACAGGAACGTGCAAGTACACTTGCTACAACCATTCAAACCCGTGTTACTCAATAAAGCTTTGTAACATTGTAACGGAAGCCAAAAAGAAAAACCAACAAAAGAAGTCTTGCCATGTCCAATCCAAACATGTTACTGGAAAGTAATTCCTTGCAGTCTTCTGACAGGCCACTGATAGTGTCTAACACTGCCCAGAATGTACATCTATGGCTTAAACTATTTCACAAAGGTCTGCCATGTATTACGTAGAACTAGCTGTAATCCCTACAGTTCCTTCATACAGCCCTCTTAATCCTTCCCTATCGTGACTCTTCAGTTATTTGCAACTTAACAAAATCAGCAATTCACTTGAAATATTCCTTCCCACAGTAGACTTACTCCCATTGCTATGCTCTGTGTCAACGTTTTAAGTATTTTATAGATTAACCACATTTCCCATTCTATTATGATTCACTTGCATTACAAAAAAATAGGTCTGATTTTTTTTTAACTGGGAAGACACAAACATAGTTTGTCAGCATTTTATTTTAAAATAACTATAAGTTGAACAATTCTAAAAGGAGTAAACAGCTGTATGTACATTTTCCCAGCTTCCCCCTGCAGTGATTTCTTACGTAAGTGCAATAAAATTTCAAAAGTAGAAATCTGACATGAGAACATTTTAAAAAATATTTTGACGAATTTCAACTTACTATTTCATGAATCACAGAGTTGTTTCCATATGTAAGTGCTTGCAAAGTGGTCCAAGTTCTAAAGTTTTTTTTCTTTAAAAAATGTCATTGTTTTGTATTTGCACTTCAATATGTAAATCACTTTGAAATAATTTTTAGCGTATCATGAAGATTAAGTCAAAATTCTTATTTTGTTTCTGGATTTCTCACTGTCTCTTAACTCTTGTTACACAATGTTACTACATTATGCTGGCTTCGTTTTGCAGTTTGAATCTTCACCAAAAAATCGAGTTCAGGATTTTTTGAATGTTATTCAAAAGGAGTCTACTTTTTAACTTTTAAATTGACTTATAATATTTGTATATATTTGTGGACTACTATGTGATATACATGCATATAATATGTAATAACCAGTCAAGGTAAGAAATTGACCATTCCTCAAGTCTACCTTTGACTCACTTGCCATTATGCAATGTCCTTTCCTATTTCTGTTAATTATTTTTGCCTCAAATCTTTCTTTGCCTGATAATGATATAACCTATAACCACATTAGATGACTTATTATTTACATAATGTCACTATCATTCTGTTCTTCCCATGTAAGTTACTTTCAAAGTATAGAAAGTATGCAGTTGGCTACTGATGTTTACTCAGTCTTTCGTTCTCTGCTTTTTAAAGATTTATTTTGCTTATTGAAAAGGCAGAGTGGCAAAGAAGGAAACACAGTGGGTAACAGATCTTCCATCTGCCGATTCACTACTTAAATGATTGGAACAGACAAGACTGGAATAGGCAGAAGCCGGGATTGAGACTCCATCCAGTCTCCCACATAGGCGTCTGGGGTTCAAGTACGTGGACCAACTTTCTTTACCTTCTGGGTGCATTAGCAGGGAGCTGATCGGAAGTAGAGAAGCCACGACTCAAACAAATGCTTCCAACTGGTATGTTAATATTTCAGGCACACGTAATATTTAATCCACAGAACTACAGCAGTACTGATTCCATTCTGTCTTTAAAAGATGTGTTTAATCAATGGAAGTATTTATCATTATGTTTGAATTTAGTACACTGTTATTTTTCTGTTTTTTTTAAACATTTACTTATTTATTTTAGAAATGCCAATTTACAGAAAGAAGGAGAGAGAGAAAGGTTTTCCATCCTCTGGTAATTTCCGACTTTTGGATTTGAAGTCTTAACATGAATTTGGTGTAATAGAAACAGTTGCAAAAGATTATCTGGGGAAGCAAAGGGAGGCCAGAATACTTTTGCCCAATGGACTTGAATAAGACATCACACTTCACTTGAATCTTGTTGAACCAGGTGGGACTTATCCATGGCATGCAGGGATGATTAAACATGTGCAAATCAATAAATGTGATACAACACATCAACAAAATGAAACAGCATCTCAGTAGTGCAAGAATGCATTTGGTAAAATCCAACACTACTTCATGCGAAAACCCATTATTGCCTTGTTTCAATGGTACATCCTTTCAGATTGCTTTCGCTTTTCTGCAGGCATTTAACATCACATTTTTATTGTTTACATTCGTTGTTACCGCTAATATTCTTTTGTTTAAATTGTTTGTTTTTCTTGAAAGTCAGACTTAGAAGGAAGACAAAAACAAAGAAATCTTTCATTTGTTCATTCATTCCCCAGATGACTGTGATTGGCTAGAGCCGGGCTAATCTAAAGTTGGGAATCAGAAGCTTCTTCTGGGACTCCTGTGTGGGTTCAAGGGCTCGAGGCCTTGGATCATTCTCCACTGTTTTCTCAGGCCATTAGCAGGGAACTGGATCCAAAGTAAAGCAACCAGGACTAGAACCACCCTTCATGTGGGATGTTGGTATTGCAGAGGATTAGCTTGCTAGGCCACTGTGCCTAGCAATTAGCACAACCTCCACAATTAGCACCTTAAACAACACTTAAGTCTGTGTAATATCAACTTAAAAATATATCAACACTCCACACCTATATTCTTCTCAACATGCATCACAGTGAAATGGGTTAACTTGCCATCTGTGAAGCTGGCACCCCACATATCTGCCAGATGGAATTCCAACTTATCTACTTCCAAACCAACATCCAGAAAATCCACCTCGGAAAACAGAAGATGCTCCAAATACATGGATCCTTGCCATTAACATGAGAAACTTGAATGGAGCTCCTACCTGCTTGATTTGGTTTTGTTCTGCCGCAGCTACTACGGCAAATTGAGGAACCAGTGCATGGAAGATCTTTCTCTGACTCCTTCACTGTCACAGTGTCTTACAAATACATAAAATACATCTTTAAAATACATAACATAGGGATGAGAAACCAACAGTCCAAGAACTGATTTATGCTTAGCCATTGGTATTCTTTATTCTTTCGTAGGGCTTCAAATATCTATTGTGTGTGCTACAAATTAAGTATTCCCTTCAATATTTCTGGCAAGCACCACTCTCATGTAGGTCTTTTTTTTTTTTTTTTTGTAATTTCTGTGCACCATATGGCATTACACTGCTAAGAGCATCTACTTTGTGGAACCAAGGACCAGGTTCCATGCTGGGAACATAAGCTGTCACAGATTTCAGGAGGAGATGAAGCAAAGGCAACCGAAAATGCCACAAAACCTTCCTACCATTTTTGGTTTGAGCACTCACTTTGCTGTAAATCACCAACTGTTTTAGATCCTGGAAAAGGTTGATTTTGACAATTTTTGGCTACTTCTATATCTGTGGAAGAACAGGAATTTGGAACTGTCCACTTGCCATGTTCTGGTTGTCACAAAGTAGCTATTTGTGGGACAAGTCACTACCTCTCTGTACCCATTTCCTTTCTAGGAAAAATAGAACTTCACCAAACAGCACTGTTCCAAAAACATCATTGGGCTGTTGAGAGAGAATTAAATTGGGAAGGGTAACATGTACAAAATACAAAACACACAGAACCTTATTTTAGGAAATATATGTTGTTTCATGAGTCATATCAGTTGACATTATTCTTATGATGACAAAAGATGCTTTAAATGGTGGACCAAAAAAATTTTATGCCAACACTTTTTTCTGGTCTTTTGTCTTCCTAAGAAACATACTTTAATGCCTTCATAGTCCTCTTGCATCAATAAGAGAAAAATATTCATTTTATTTCAACATTTTATTGAACTTTTTATCATATAGTTTACCCCAAACATTTAAAATGCCAGTAAGGCAAAAAAACAACTTAAAAAAAAAAAGATACAAACACAAAACACCTCTTCTAGCTGAGGTAATATTAAGATTCATTGTATAATCACAAATTTTATTACTCTGCTACACAACATGATATTTGGACAACACTCAATGACTCAAAAGTAAGACACGTACGTTCAATTTAGGAGGGAGAGATTAAGTACAACTACTTTAAACAGAAAGTAGAAATGCCAACCTTAAGTACCACTTAAATGCTAATAAGATGTGAATTGCTACTGAGGAATCCTATTTGCTTAAGATTTGACAAAAACAAACAAACAAACAAAAATCCCCAAACCTGCAAAACTGGCTAATTTTTGAAGATCTGGCAGAACAGCCTTTTCTGTGGAGAAGCATGAGCAAGCAACCAGATGGCAGCATTGTGTATAAATTCCAGCTGACAGAACGATCAAAGAGCATTCCCCGCATCTTCCCCCGCAAAATGCCAACCAGATATATGAATACTTGGTAATGAACTTGGAGTTTTTGTGTCCAATCAATTAAGTGAATGCGTTGCTACAAAGGAGTTTTCTGAGTAGTCATGCACAGCTGCAAAGTGACCAGGCAAGCTCTCATCTATAATCGGCGTCTAAGAAAACCTGATAAGGCGTGTATTGCCTTAATCCATAACCACTTTTAAGTTAGCTATTTTATTATTTCATACTTATAAATTTAGTGCTGAAAGCCTGGAGACTTAAATAATTTTAAGAACCTAGGCATTGCTTTTATGAGTCTATGAAACAAAACTGAGGAAGGCATCTCAGGAAAGTCTATATACACATACTTAGTAAATCAATTCATAAATTGATTTAACGTAATATACGTTAACATCTACCAGTTTTCAGTTTAATTACTTGATCTATTTGACTCAAATTAAGAAGCCGTATCATGTAAGGCAAGCACAACACAAGCACCGTGGCCTATCTGGTTTACTGAAGAGGATCGTTGGCCTGTGGGACTTAATCTTATCTTTAACACTAGCAGTCATACTGAACTTAAAAATACTATACTGAACTATTATCTTAAGCAACATGGCCAAGAAATCAGAAGCACTGCCTTCTCCCCTGCCTGCCAGTATGGGTGTCGGGGAGGAGGGAGGAAGGGAAGTCTAAAATGGGGCATGAGAGCTGTTTTATTTATTCCTATATAATCACTGAAATGCATTGGGCAGGTCAAACTGACCACTTTTCAATGTTAGTCCTGATGTTAATTTGTATTTTTTTCAGAAACAGAAAGTAAGAGCAGCCCCACTAGTGTGTGGTTCAGTCTCTCAGTTTTAGACTTCCCAAACAGGTACATTCCGAATCTGCAGTTAGTATGTCCACGCTGACTTCCAATGACCTTCAAGATGTTCACTACATTTCACTCATTTCCATCCAGATTCCCAAATTCTTGTAAACCTTGACCTTTTCTGCCTTACTTTTGCCTTAAACCACCTTGTTTGTAAGAAAAGAAAGTTTCCCTATATTAAAACTCATAACATTGTTTAGCCATGATCAATATTTAAACTTATTTTGTTCATCTTTAGTGGGGCTAAAATTAAAACACGGAAATAGTTGCTTCCATAACTAATACTCACACGCCAAAGTGGAAAAAGCAGGCAGAGGGGTTATGTTTCACAAGTTTCTAGGAATTTTTTTTGTTCTTGTTATTCTAACACTACTTATCATTAAAGTATCCTTTCCTGTGACATTTAACAATAAAACTAAATTTTGGCTTGTACACATTCTAGGTTGGATAACTATGCAAGGTTATAGCTTTTAGAGGGGTTAACAGTGTGTAGTAAAACTGTAAAATCCAAAAAAAGCAACGACATTTTAAAATGTGAAATGATAGGCCAAATACATATTATTTTACTATAAAAAGTGTCTAATTCTTCAAGTTACATTTAAAATTAAAATAATTAACGTGATTAAAAACTTGCATATTTGCAGAAATATGCTTTTTTCTTTTCAACCAGAAAACACAAGCATAAATTCTCTTTAGGGTTTGCAATTTTTCTCTAGCATTCATCCAAGTTTAAAAAGTGATAAGGATAACATCTTTTTTCCCTTTATGAGTATCTAGTTTGGTGAACAAAACTTTATGTAACACCTGAAAAAAACGTAAGCTACTACTTAATTATAACTATATAGCAGTAAAGAGGCACAATTTGCAGGTGCATTTTAATTTTGTTTTAAGACAAATCATTCAGAAGAGAAAGGCAGGAGAGAGTTTTTTAAGTACACGATTTGTGAAAGTGGAAACAGTGATAGATGTCATGATTGTATGTCTCTTTACAACTGGCTCTAAAAATAGCCTGTTAATTCCCATAATTAGCTAAGCAAACCAATCTTTACAAATGTATGTTAAATTTCCAGCTTCTGACATTGAACTATTGGGTGAAGATATGGACAAGTATGCTACATTGGCTTAAATTTGCAGGGGGGACGTTACCTTTGCTTTTGATGCTTTGTTCTGATACTCAAGCAGAAAGCATAATTCCATTTTATGCAATGATCTAAGAGTACAAAATTTATAAAGATGAAGGAAATTCCAAGTTATATGTTGGTACATAAATGTTTTTTATATGGTATGTATATATAGCCATGAAAATGGTTACATAGAAATGCAAATTGGAACCCTTGAATCCTTACAGATTGCTAAATCTAATACTCTTAGTCTTTTTCAATGATGCTGAGACTGATTTTCTTAAAGGTTAAAACTGATGCTACAATAACAATCTAGAAGGTAAAATAAACACGTAGCAGACAGCACGGTCAGAAACCGATTCTATGCTATGACATTTTGTTTACGCTGATGATAAATTTTTTGCTTCTGCTATCATTTTTACTTCAGCAATTAAGTGCTATGCTGGCTAAAAATGTAAATCATACAGGCTTAACTTTTATTGAGCTTCCAAATAGGCTTGATCGAAAAGAGGAAAAAGAACATACATGTAATTTAAAGGCAAATGGAGAGTCCACATAGCGAGAATGCACTTTTTCTGCCAGCTGCGCTTTTCACTCCAGCCTGCCTCCCCAATCTTTCATTTCATGCCTCACAATTTCATAGCACATTGTCCAGATCTGTCCTTCTGGACTAGCCGGTGATGCAATCGAAATCTCAAACGCTATTCTGAAGAAGTGTAGAGTAAATCATTTTGGTAATCTGTAGGACAGCTGCATGCAGTGTGTACTGTATTATAACAGCACCGAACCCTTTATAAAAACCAAGCACTCCTTCCTCCTGCCTTATAGTGTTGATGCAGTCTTTCATTCCCTCGTACTGTGTATTAATTGGAAGCACTTCATAGCCAAGGTCGGTGTTGTCAATGATTGTGCGTGTTCCTTGAATGTGAAGGCGGTGCAGAACTGTTTCCAGCGGGTAAAGTATAACGTCAGAGCAAAGACTGGCGGCGAAGTTAGCAATAAGTTCTGGAAAGTAAGCATCCAACATACTCTGTACTGGGCTTGTGTTCTCAACCACGTGGCTATTGTACGTCTTTCTCTTTAGAATCAGCAGAACGAACTTCTGAATGATGGAGCTGATGACGTAGTGGAGAAGGCCGTGCAGCACTGTGGGGAAGATCAGGGAGAGCAGGGGGAGCAGCCGCTTGCTGTGAGGCACTCCCAGGCCAATCACTCTTCCAATGCCTTCTTTGAGACATTCCAAAATGCCAGTATTATCTCGAATTATTTCACTCTGAAATACAAGAAAAGAGAGCAATCATAACATCCGCTTATTTTACTATACACACAAAAAAAGAACTCTCAGTTCCTCTTAATCCTGATTTATTGACTGGAGAGGAAGCACAAGAATGGTCTGCAGGAAGCAACTGTCATCTAAATTACTGGATTATTTTTCAAATAAAACCTCATAAAAGAGATAGCAGGTTGAGAAGTATTCGTAGAAAGGTGAGGGGATGGCAACTCTTCAGAACTCATTTGGAAAAGCATCAACCGCTTACGTCCAATATAAGTTTAAATGCCCCCTCTGTTACTGGTCATATTCCTACTACCAGGCTAATTTCTTCCTGTCAGTTTAATTCCGATAAACATGGAAAATTAATACTACCTAATTTTTAAAGAGAGTTGTATTAAATTAAAAGGAGAAAAAAAAAGAAGAAAAAGGCCAGATATTTAGTAGATATTAAATAAATATTAGTCAGTTTTATCACCTGAGATGTCTGCTTTTTTTTTTAAACAATTTCAGAAATCCGAGTAACAAACTGGGTCATACAGACTGCAGAAGTATGCACGGAGAAGCACAAAAAAACAGCCCAAAGCTCACTGGCTGCAGCACTGACTTCGGAAGAGGACAGACACAAAGGCAGTCAAGGCCACATGAAAACCTCAGGCATCACTTTTAAGACTCTGCCTTCTAATTAGATGAGAAGGTCTTAAGCAGAAGATGGACCAATGCAATTCATGAGTTTAAAAAAACAGTACTGGCTGTTGTGCAAAGACCCACAGAGGCAGAAGTTAAGAAATCAGTTGAGAACAAACATACAGTGGGTTGGACCAGGAGGAGGTTGTCAAAGTAGAGCAGATCAACTGTGCTGGTCAAAGTCAACAAGACTTGCTGGTGAAGTCCATCTGGGCTATGACAGACAGGGTCAGAGACCATCCCTAGGCTGCTGGCCAGAAGAACAGACAGGAGGGAAATGACTACGTTACACTGAGCTAGTGTAACAATTTCAAAGAGAAGACTCCAAATTCAGAAATGTTAAACATGTAAGCTCCAAGCAGAGCCTACAGTTTAGATGACAATGACATGGTTCAAGCTGCACAGACTATAAATCGACCTCTAGTAAACAGGTGATACTTCGCACCGCAAGACAATCCCACCACGTCTCGTCTTCTGCTTTCTTTTTGCCTGGTGTCCTTCCGAATATCCACGCTGTTCTCAGCCTCAGAACTTACTCACTGTCATTTCTTTTTTTTTTTTTTTTTAAGATTTATTCATCTTTACTGCAAAGTCAGATAAACAGAGAGGAGGAGAGACAGAGAGGAAGATGTTCCATCCAATGATTCACTCCCCAAGTGATCGCATTGGCCGGAGCTGGACCGATCTGAAGCCAGGAGCCAGGAACTTCCTCCAGGTCTCCCACGCAGGTTCAGGGACCAAAGGCTTTGACTGCCTTCCCAGGCCACAGGGAGGGAGCTGGATGGGAAGTGGAGCTGCCGGGATTAGAACCAGTGCCCATAGGGGATCCCAGCATGTTTATGGAGAGGACTTTAACTACTGCGTCGGGCCCCAATTGTCGTTTCTTACTACAGCCTTAAACTGCCTCTCCGCAAAAATTGTACATCCCTTTTACCTCTGTTGCTTTATTTTTGCTTCTTTAGTATTTGTTACCACAGTAAGGAGTTTTATCTATGCCTATCTATCAAGACTGGAAGTGCTATAAGGAAAAAGGATTTTTCTTTGCTGCTGTATTATTAGGGTATACAATGGTCTAATACATGTTGGCACTTTAAATATTTGATGATTTTTAAAAAAATTAACCATTAAGGAAGACTAGCTGAAACAGTGAAGTCAGTATGCTGAAGGGTTACACTGTTGTTACAATAAAGGATAAAGCAGGGGTAGGGGAGAAGGGAGGAGGCTGGGAAGGGAAAAATCCCTGAGTCTAAGGAACTATAGCATGAAAAAGAAAAATTTTAAAAATGTAAAGTTGATCAAAATACTAACAATACTATTTTGAGAAGTTTAAATGTTGGGGAATGTTATTATGAATCCTTAGTCAGTAAAGATACAAGCACTGTAACTTAATCTTGAGTGAGTACACAGATCGGATTTTTAAACCTGGAAACTAGAACAAGGATTCTCAACAAACACATTGCTCACTGAGAAATTCTCGTTCAAGGCCTTCAGCACTCTTCAGGAGATGGTGCGCACAGAGAAGCAGCGCTCTCCTCAGCGCTCCCTGGGAACCAAGACAGCACTGAGCCAAGGGAAGAAAGAAGGCGCAAAGGACGACAGTCGCATCCTGGAGACCTGCTGAAGTCGGAATAAACACATCAAGAGCCGAGACACAGATTTAGTTCACTTTGTCATCAGAGTTAAAATGACTCTTATCACTAAATGTGCTCTTCCAGGATGGAAAGTGTGGAACCAAACTGAGTGCGCTCAAGGAGAGAGACTTAGGGTGTACACAGGAGAGAGAAGCCTAAAATGAAAACAAACAAACAGACAGATCAAAAACAAACCTTTTACAAGGAAGTCGGAGATACAAGGGAAAGATAATGAGCAAACACAACCCTGTCCCACAGCAGAGCGCTTGTATAACTAAGACTCATAAAGCTTCATGAGTTTGTCACAGATCTAACTTAGGTTCAGAAATGTGAAACTGACACTTGCTTTCCTCAAATCTACCACATGCCATTTGTTTTTCCTGAATTAATCACGTTCTCACTATTTTCCTCTTTGTTTAAAGTGATAACTCTGCAAACTCTAAAACCTCTCACAAGAGGAACAGCATTTACTATATGATGCTGAATGCAAGGGGAGAGTATCTTATATCACAGGATGTTAACTTCAGGCTACTCCCAGCAAAACAAACTAAATAAAGCAAAGATCAATAATGGGGCCAGAAAAGAAAATCAGTAGGAAAGACAAATTAGAAGGAAAAAGGCTTAGCCGTACAGGGTTCTTAGAGAAGGATACCTGTACATATTTAAAAAAGAAATGATGGTAAAAGACCTGTGCTGAAGACAGAAGAAAGCTTTATAAGTAGTTCGGTGCGCAAGTTAAAAAACTACCTTCACACTACCGGCTTAGCTCACCTCCATTAGTTCATTTAGAGTTGCTGAGTAAAAGGGCATTGGTGATCGTGAATGACATTTAATTCAGTGAACCAGAAGCGCCACCATGTGGCTAAAAGTAATTAAAAAAACTAAAATTCTACTTAGAAATTGCTTTAGATTTGTAGTTCAGTAGGCCCTCCCTTTGCACGACTTCCGCACGCATGAATTCAACAACAGATGAAAATGATTAGAAGAACTGTACTGAGCATGTATGGACTCTGCTCATTATTCCTATGACGATTCCTTATAATAATTGTTCAGCCAGTGTTTATTTTGTATTTGGTATTCCATGTAATCGAAAGATGATTTAAAGTACACAGGAAGATGTTACGCAGTTTACACGCAAATATTATGTCATTTTAAATAAGGCGTTTGAGTCCTCACAGATGTTGGTATATCCACAGAGGGGTCCTGGAGCCAATCCCATAAGCATACCCAAAGGGATGAATGTGGTTACCACAGCAAGTACTATCAACATTCCTTCAGAAGTACATCTCAGAAGAATGGCAGTACACGACCTGTGGGTGCCATGGCTTGAAGTCTGGATGGTTGTACATGTTTATATTCAGACAATGACTTACTATTTTACTGTCATGTAAACCGCGATGACCTCAGTTGTATCAAGAACTTGGCCTAAAATGTTTGTATTCACAGCAAGTTACAGCTTGGATTCTGGGCCGTCTGAATGAAAAATACAGCTAATATATTTCAAAATTATTCTTATAATTTTTAATAATTAAAGATAGAAAAATGTGACCTAAATTTGGAATGGAAATATACACACCAGAAATGTGATAAACATGTGACAACTGTGAAATAAGCATTTAATAAGATATCTATCTAAGCATTTAATAAGATACTCTAAGCATTTAATAAGATAATATCTAAGCATTTAATAAGATACTACCTAAGCATTTTTGGTAAACAGACATATATAATACACTGAATATCCAAAAGATATTTTTACTGAAAAAAAAAAAAGACAGTAAAAGCAGCTCACCTGTACTGTTTCAATTAGACTTGCTGAATAAAAAGGCATTGCTATTATATAAGTCAGGCTGCAGAAAACAAAACAAATTTATTAAACAATGAGCTTATACTCAAATGTTTAGTGTCTAATAATATCAACATAACACATTCAATTTAGTATGATCTTAAGGTTTTCAACCATGAGGGGGAGTCTTCAAAACGTTTACGGAAAACATGTCTTAGGAAAAAAATTCCTCTTGGATTTCAACACTATCTGGCATCGAAATGAACTTATTTTTTTCTTTTTTCTTGAATTTTCTGAAGTTCCCTTATTGATACCAAAAGACACAAACACAGACCATTTTATTCAACAGAGATGAAAAAAAATAATATGGTGAACATTTTATTTTAAAGCACCAAAGTAGAAACTCAATCACGATTCACTGTCCCCCTGTGCACAGCCTACGCGACCTATAAACCTGAGAGTGCATGTTAACGGGTCTACTTGCCACTGGTATTCTGTTAGCGTTACCTACTCCCCTGTTTCCAGCCAGAGGGCCAAAACAAGTCTTCAATGCTGAGTAAGGTTCCTTTAATCCCGAAAAATGGAGATACCATCGCCAATACTTAGAGCAAGTTACAATCTTGCAAGCATACGCAACATGGGTTGCATGTGGGTGCAGGGTCCCAAGGCTCTGGGTCATTCTCTAATGCTTTACCCAGGCCACACTCAGGGAGCTGGATGGGATGCAGGGCTGCCAGAATTTTAACCAGTGCCCTTATGGGATCCTGGTGCATGCAAGATGAAGACTTTAGCCCCTAGGCTACCACACTGGGCCTGGTATTCAACATCTTATTTTTATACTCTGTGTAACTTGTTTTTTGAAGTTCTACTTGCACAAGTATTCTATTGTTCTAAATTCTTTCATCATATTTATTTAAAATTTTTTTTTAGTTTTAAAATTAATAAAATTTATGCCTTTGTAAAAAGTAATGGAAATTGTCAATGAAAGAACCACTTAGATACTTACGATTTCAGTAGAAGGTGTTCTCCTATTTGTTTAGGATTCCATTTGTGTGAAACTTCCCTACAACATAAAAAAGAAAGTAAGAGCCATTTTAATTTTAATTATTTTATCCTGTTTTTCAAAAGGATAACCGGATTCTAATATTGTTTTAATATTAAGACAAATACATTCTAATGTGACAATTTCCCCTTCTGGGACATACTTCAGGAGCCAGGAGCTTCTTCTGGGTCTCCCATGCAGGGGCAGGGTCCCAAGGCTTAGAGCCATCCTCCACTGCTTTTCCAGGCACCAAGCAGGGAGTTGGATGGAAAGTGCAGGAGCTGGGACACAAAGTCCACTGTGCAACTTTACACTGTGGGTCTCACTGGATACTTTCAGCTCTCAGGTGTTGCTAGCCCTCTGTCCTTTCCCTGCTCCCTCACAACCCAGCTCTTCTTTTGGGTTTTTACCATCTTTCTGGTCCTTCCTCCAGCTGCAGGATCTTTCTCAACACAGCAATCATGTTGCTGAAGTTATAGAAGGTTCAGGCCTCTTCTTCCCCCATTTCATATGATGCACTCCTTTAAACCAGCCAATTGCATTTACCTTCAGTTAAGGCTTCAAGTCTCTATGCTAACATAAAGTCATCTGCCTACTGACAACTCTAGTTGGATAAAAGACATGAAAATGAACTGAATTTTACAAAATCAAACTTGACATATCTCTTTGCTGCTTACTCTTTGAGTGTTCTCTCCTTGATGCTGTTAAACAGAAATCTATTGCATTTGAGGAATATTTCATTGTGTTCAAAATAGCCTGTGTTTTACAAAGTAAGTGGATTTTGAGGAGTCACTGAGAGGAAATACTAAGACATTTACACTATTACAACCACAGAGGGCAGAGGGTTCTAAGCTCAAGTGGCAAATGATTTTGTAAGAAAAAAAAAATCACACAGGTAGTAACCTTGGTTACAGGAGGTCCCACCTGAAATTAATGATAGGGACACACACACACACACACACACACACACACACACACACACACACACACACCCCTAAATGAGAGTTGTTTAGGGAAAGGGGAGGTGGGGTCTGGCAGTAGATGACCAAATATCAAAGGTAATGAATGTTCCTGTCTCATACATATCATTTTAGAAAGTAATAAAATAAAAAAAAACTTTTGTGAATTAATGAGTTGATAGATTTGCTGTTTTTCTCTGTGATGGCATCACAATCCAAATGAAAAACTATTGTTGGCAACCAATATTTTTCTATCTAGTAATGTTGTCAATTTAAGAAACTCCAGTTTAAGAGCTCTCAGAACTTACCCACTTCATATGATAGCTTCTAAAAATTATAATAAGTTGCTGGCTTGATACCTTATTAGCCACTGGTTTTCTTCACCCCAAGAAAGGTCAACCTTGCCCAAAAGTTGATAATTGTTTTAAAGACACTTCACACTCTCAGTAAATGGTTTCCTTTGACATCAAATTATGCAAGTCAAAATCCTAGATGCTGTCGCTGATACAATCTTATCTTTCATCCACTACTCCTAATTTATCACCAATTCTACTCAATTATCTTTCAAAATTATCCATGTACTCTCACCTCAAAAGTTACTACACTGGTCCTAGCTATCATCATTTCTCATCCCTATTACAGCAGACTTAAGATGCCTTTACTCATTTCGGTATTCCTTTTCGGCTGCAGCTTACCAGCTGACGTCACAGTTCTTGTTTAAAACTCCTCCGTCTCGTTTAAGTGGCCTACAAGGCATGCTGAATCTAGCTCCAACCTACTTTTACAGAATTATCTTACTCACACCTTTCTCAGTTTCGCCTTCTCACTGCAACCAACTGAGCCTCCTGTGTTACCTGAGTCCCCAGGCCTGCTACTTCCACAGCATTTCTGGACAAACCAGTCTGTGGTTTCACCCACATCTCAGCTTAAGCATGGGGTTACTAAGGACATTGTTCTCATCTCCTTATATTCTCCCAGGGGCCAGTGCTGTGGCATAGCTGGTAAGCACAGCATCCCATGTGGTGTTAGTTCCAGTCCTGGCTGCTCCACTTCTGATCCAGCTTCCTGTTACCACGCGTGGAAAGCCAGCGGAGGATGGTACAAGAGCTTTTGACCCTGCACCCACATAGGAGACTTGGAAGAAGCTCCTGGTTCCAGGCTTCGGATTGGCGCAGTTCTAGCAGATGAGGCCATTTGGTTAGAACTGGATGAAAGGCCTCTCTTAATCCTTCTTTGCAACCTCTGCTTTTCAAATAAAAAAAATTCTCATAAAACCGTATTCTTTTCCCTCAGAGAACAAGTTTCTATTTTTAATTACTCACGTATCAGTGGTATTGTTGTACTTGACATATTTCTTGCGTTAGATTATGAACTTTAGGGTAACAGCTACCTTTTGTTTCTTTCCCTTACTGACATCCTGATTTCTAGAGTAGGACCCGACACAGAGCTGGTGCTCAGGAAATGTTAGCTAGGAACATAAACGGCAAAGGGAAACTCACACAAGACTCACACAAATGGCAGGTCCATATGTCTAAAGAGAAAGAAAAGCGACTTTTTTTTTTCAGAATTTTGTGTTTTCCCATTAGTAATTCTGCTTCTCCTTTCTTTTAAGCTGAAATTAATGCTACTCCTTCATTTGTTTTACACAGGCATCGTTACCTGTTTAACACATCACCAAATAGATGCGAAAAAGTTGCATCTGAAACTAGCACCTGAAACAAATAATGCTGTGGCCGCAAGGACAGGCTGAGTTTTCAGAATTTTTCTGATTTTGAAACATCTGCGTAGAAGTTACCAGTCTCTAACAACAATAATAATAAATATCAACAATTTGAAAAGATTGAAATCTAGTCTTGGATTTTTTTATATTAGGGATGCTCAAACACACTGAATTTTGCCATTCTTTTAAACAAAATGTTCTACATTTTGTTAAATTTGTATACATCTTTGTTTTTGTGGAAGGACCAAGAATATTTAACTCTACGTATTAACTGCTGATCTTACAATGTGAAATAAAAAAGTGCGGCAAAGTTGGCCAAAAACAGACACTTAGCCTTTTAAGATTAAGAAACTGTCAGCTGATTAGTATTTATTTTGTTTTCAATCTTTCAGCAAACTTATATTAGGGAAAGTCAAAGTTGTGAGGTTCTTTCAAAACATTGATTGGAAAACGGCTTACTACCAATTTCTCTGGCCTCCGTTTCCTTCCCTACAAAGACTAAGTCAGCAAACTGATTACTTGTAGTGTCCTAGTGCATATACTTTCAACTACTTCACTTCCTGAACAATCTAAAAAAATTCACTGTACTGAGGGTTAACTTTGAATCAATGAACCACTTAAAGCCATTGACAATATTCATGGACTGATACAGAAAAATATAGTGCCAATAAGCAGAATCAGTCAGGCCTAATTTACCTAACAACTTTATGATTTCCAGTATTATTTATTATATTTCTTCCAAGATTTCCTTATTACTTGTCACTGTGACTGTCCCAAGCATCGTGAACCACTGGATGCAAGACATTCTGTCTCGCTTTCTCTCTGTGTGAAATTTTGCCTTTCAAATAAAACATAAGTAAATCTTTTTTTTTTTTTTTAAGATTTATTTATTTTTATTACAAAGTCAGATATACAGAGAGGAGGAGAGACAGAGAGGAAGATCTTCTGTCCGATGATTCACTCCCCAAGCAAGCGCAACGGCCGGAGCTGAGCCAATCCGAAGCCAGGATCCAGGAACTTCCTCCAGGTCTCCCACGTGGGTGCAGGTTCCCAAGGCTTTGGGCCATCCTGATTGCTTTCCCAGGCCACAGGGAGGGAGCTGGATGGGAAGTGGAGCTGCCAGGATTAGAACCAGCGCCCGCATGGTATCCTGGGGCATTCAAGGCGAGGACTTTAGCTGCTAGGCCATGGCACCAGGCCCAGGCCCAAAATAAGTAATTCATAACAAACAAACAAAAAAAAAAAAAAAGAAAAGAAAGAAAAGAAAAAAGGTACATTCCATGGCCCAGTGGCTGCATCTTCACCTTGCATGAGCTCAGATTCCATATGGGCACCAGTTCTTGTCTCAGTTGCTCCACTCCCCATCCCTGTTTATGGCCTGGGAAAGCAGTAGAGGATGGTCCAGAGCCTTGGGACCCTGCACTTACATGGGAGACCCAGAAGAAGCTCCTGGCTTCTGGCTTCGGATTGGCTCAGCTCTAGCCATTGCAGCCACTTGGAGAGTGAACTAGTGAACAGGAGATCTTTCTCTCTGTATTTCCTTCTCTCTGCAAATCTGCCTTTACAATACAAATAAAATAAATCTTTAAAAAAATTGCTCACATATTCCATTTGTTTCTAACTTAGCCATTGCTGGTACATAGCAGTAGTAGTAAAAAAATTCTCTCAATGACACTGAATCAAGAAGCACTTTCATTACCACAAATTAATGCAATAAGTTATAAATAGCAACTAACTTATTTCTTACTTCTTTCAGCCACTTTAGACAAGTTTCCAGATTCAAAGTTAGAAGCTATCATATTTTACTGGAACTTGATTGTAATTAACTCCAGGAAAATGCTAAAAAGGTACCTTGGCAAAGGTGTGAATTCACTAATTATGCCTTCTGCTCCCAGCGTGACTCCTTGGACAATAAATGTACTTCCCATTCCTTTCCAGAGGGCTCTTGGTCCCTAAAATGAACCAAAGTCATTATTATTTCTACTAATGCCTAAACATGAAAACACGGGTCTTAATAAAACTTGATATTAAGCATCTACTGAATATTTGAGTAATTCACGATTCTACAGAAATCTAAGTAGAGAAACATAAATGAAATTTGATAGTTTTAACATTTGCTATGTGACCTATATTTAGCCCAGGATGAACACTTCCATATCATTAATGAACAATTAACTTGTTACATTTTCTCAATATTTACAAGTCCTACCCCTTGAATTATTCTTAGGTTTCTCAACATTTACATATCTCTGCTTTAACCCAACCAGAACTACTCAAACCCCCTAATTACTTGCTTCTCTACTGCATTTCCTAACTCCCTGTATTGCAGCTTCATCATCCCAAAGTACAAAACATACATTATATTCATAAATAATATAGTACAACTTCAAAAGAAAAAAGCAATGTGTCTCAGGTAAGCAGCTGGTCTCCTTTTTGTCCCGGTCTCCTAGAAGCAGCTTGTCTGTCTTTCAGAGACACAAGTCTATCTCTGTATGAGCAGATGGGTTATTACTTTGCTCATTTTAGCAGCAGTACTTTCTCGAACCACAGAGTATGTTAGCGATTCTGTCATATCAATACATTCGGAGCTGCCTTTTCAATTTTTAGATGCTATCTGGCATTTTGTCACATAAACACACTGTAATTATTTCACTGGTTCCCTACTGATAGAAACTTGCCATTTCTAATCTCATTGTTATTTACAGGGTCACAGTGGCATCTATAGTTATAGGTACAGACATTATACATACATTTATAAATATACACCTGTGGGATAAGTTCTTAGAAAAAAATTAAGAACACAAATATTTCAAATTTTAATAGATACAGCAAACAATCCAAGCAATCAAGACACTTTGCTCACTGCTGAAATAGCTTCAGTGGTACTCTTCCAGTTTAAATATTACTGTGTGATTCCTTGAAGGCCTTTATGTTCTGGATCCTTCTTTAGCCATTTTTCCATCTTTCTCTTACTCTTCAGTCCCTGCCTCAAGTTCCTATATAGTACTGCATAAAATCCATCCAGGGGCCAGGCTGTGGCACTGCCACCGCACCAGTTCCTGTCACAGCTGCTCCACTCCCAATCCACTCCCTGCTAACGGCCTGCAAAAACAGCAGAGGATGCTTCAAGTCCTTGGGCTCCTGCAGACTCAGAGTCTCCTGCCACCTGGCTTTGGACCTGGCTTCCTCTACATTTATCATGAACAGGTGGCCTTCTTGATAGACAGTATAAAACTCGGGTGTCTCTTTCGCCAAAGATTTTCCTAGTCATACTGTAGTCATAAATCCCACTTATACTTAGGAAGTGTGTACAGGAGAAAACCCTCCACTGGTTTACACCCTAACTACCTAAGTGAGAATTGGACCAGGCTGACCCTGGGAGATGGAACTCAATCCGAGTACCTGAGCCATCAGCACTGACTCCCACAGTGTGCATTGCCAGCAAACCAGGTCAGGAGTCAGAGTGCTCTAATGTGGCTTGAGGCCTCTTCACCAGTGTCTTGGCCAACTGTGCTAAATTCCTGTCCCCAAGTCCCAATTCTCTTCCTTACAGTGATAGCATTTTACATCTCTAACACTGCATCTATCTTACTGCACCACAGGCTTAGTTTTAATATTCATAACTAAGCTATAAGCCTCTTGATATTAAAGATATTATCTGCTACTAGTTTCTGACAGTACTCACTGAGTTAATTAAATTTTGGAAGAGTCAAGACCATATTACTACGCTACTTAAGTTTTTCTATAACAGATATTTTATGAATCAAATTGAAGGGAATTATTCTTGTAATATTCACAAATGCTACCTATCATATACTCTAGCAAAATAAACAATCAATATTCACCTGAGTTTTGTTCAAGCTGTACATAATATTGATGACTGTAAATGGAGTGAGATGATAATGCCGAGCATGGTAATTAACCTGCAAAAACAGCAATTACACAGTATTTTCTTTTTTATTTTTGTCGTTATGCCAACAAATAACAAGGCCATAAAAATATAAAGTACAATTCAGTTTAAACAAAATGTCCATTCTAATGTCAAAATTGTGCAAGCAAAATTACTCTTGAGAGTGTTTTAAATAATAATATTATGGTTACATAATAATATTATGGTTACATAATACAATATGAAGATATATACATCTTCATATATATATCTTTATATATAAATGTAAATTATATAACAAAGAGCTGTTCGAGACTGTTTCCTTAAACACCAGAATAACATCTTTAACTCTTGCTCACTTTAGGCAAGTATTTAGCAAAGCAAAAGTTGCAACCAATTGGTAACTTATCAGTCAGTTAAGGGTGTTAAAACAACGTGTACAGGACCTCAGTGCAGTATTACCACCATGTGAGATATGTCTGGATTGCACTGCTTTCCCGCATACACACTGTTAACGCCATCAATGGCGTTTCTCAAAGCATACGTTATTTCCCAGTGCTGAACGGAAGCAGATTTGTAATAACAAACTACTCTTTGACCTCTAGCAGCAAACAAACATGAAAAAAGTTAAACTGTAAAATAAGTTATATTGTATCAGCACTGACCACAAGTGTGGTCCAGTGATTCCTGAGGGCCTCAACCAGCTTACAGTTACTTTCCTGAAGATACCAGGGCATCATTTGCCCATGTTGACATTTTCACGAATGATGCTAATAACGATGGTGGGTAACACTGTTAGCTCTTTACTTTAGTGCAAATCAAAAACTGTTCTTTTGTATTTAACTGTATTTTACGTCCCATTTACATCCTTCATGGAGCAGTAAAAACTGTAACTTTGCTGCAGCTTGCCCCATGAAGACATGGTATGGTTTTGATTAGTCCCCTGAGAACTGCATAAAGCAGCAAGAAGACCGTCAGGAGGAAAAGCACTTGTATGATGGAACTACAAACTAAACTAGTGCCTTTTTTCAAAAACACCATTTTTTGCTTCTAAAATCATAGGCCACAGTTACTCACTTGGACTAGGTATGTTTTTAAAAATGAGTCAAGATTGTAACTTCAAACTAAAAATCCCTGCATTATTTGTTGTTGATAATCTCAGGTTCCAATTCTTGCTGACTTTTCCCATGGGATCAATGGTGCTTTTACAAAGATGACTTTTAGCATTATGTACTCAAACATAAAATTCAGAAAACCTATGAAACTCAGAAATTCAACATTTTCAATAAAGAATTCAAACAGATCTCTCACTAGATCTTATAAGGGAACCTTATAAGAGATTCTGCTCACTAATGCAGAATCAGACCTCACAATGCAAACACCCTTTAGGAAACCACTACTCAGTGCGTTTTGGCATAATTTCAAAGCACAATACCCAAAATATCTGAGAAGACATAAAATACTCTTCCTGTGTTCATTTGCATAGATTCCCAGACTGGACCCTTGCTTTCCTTTCTCTTATTTCCTCTGCAAACACTGTCCAAAAGACTGAACAGAGAAGCAGAGAAGAGAACATGGGTAACTCCTGTTATGCCAGACACGGAACATTTAAAAATTCTAAAGCAGTTATTTTTCATAAAATGCAATCTGTCAATACCAAGTAGATTTTTAACTGCTAAAATGACAAACATCCGATATGATCCACATAACCAAAGTTCTTCAGAATTCTAAATAACTAAAGATCTTAATGATGTTTTGAAATAAGAATGTTTGAGATTCTATTAAGATTTCGGAACACTCCAATGGAATAACTACACACTTTCATATCATTTATCTGAGGTTTGTCACTTAATCAGGGTTAGCACAGCACCTCCCAAGGTCACAGAGACTCCATTTACCTGACACTGCCGGCGTAGGACAATGCAAGGATGGGCCAGTACATTTTCTGTAAAAAGACTACAGAAAAATGATTTATTATTATACATGTATGTATTCATGCGCACATTTCACCTGATACAGATATGTATCTAATTATTCTTGTCCCCAAACTATGAATCACTTTGTTCTCCACTCTTCAAAAAAACCCTAAAAAGATTCCAAATATCTAAATATATTTGCAAATGGTTCCATAAATAATCAAATAAAATATAAGAAAGAATAAAAACCAGAATTAGCAAACAGAGGGAAATTGTACATAATACTTAATTTCCAATTTTTTAAGAAAATCTCCTCCGAACAAAATTTTTAACTGCAGAATCACCTGTTCCTCATGAACTTCATCCTAAACATGTTTCTCCAACTCGACACTTAAATGTAATCGTTTTTTAATGACTTTGCTGACTTCTTTCATTTGTCAAATATTTCTTCTTGAAACATTCCCTATAGAGTCATCATGGCTGTGGGCTTATGCTCCAACAATGACACAAAACATACTTTAAAATAACCTCAAATGAACATTGAAGTACAGTGAGGCTTAAAAAAATGAATTGGCAGAATAGAAAAGACAGATTTTATATTACCTTAACATGTACAGATTTGATGTAAGTTACAGGGCTTGGGAGTTAAACTTTTTAAAATGATGAAGATGATGAAGTTTTGAGAAATTCAAATATATTTGAAACTGGTATTCACTGAAGAGCACAACAACTTCCCTCAAGCAACGCGATCACAGAATTAAAAATGTGCAGTTCTCACGAACCAAATTCTAATTGTGAGCAAAATCTAGACTCTATGCTATCAAATACCTTCTTAGCCTTTCAATGCTTAGAAATCTGACATGCAATTATTTTTGGTGCAAAAGAAGACAACATTTGATTTTAACCTTTGGGTGGTTCATAAAAGTTGTTACAATATCCATTACAGAAGTTTTTAGTGTTTGTAACACTGAATAACTCTTGCTGGAAAAATACCAAGTTACAGACTTTAAATAACCATTTCTTTCTGTGAAATATTACTCAATATTTAACATACTGCTCTGAAGAACCCTAAAGAAATACTATTAATATTCTAAAGAGAAACTCTTTAAAAATCTACATAAATTATTACCTTGCAAGTCCAATACCAAATCCAGCAAATCTATTCAACTGTTCTGAAATGAAAAAAAAAAAAAAAAAGATTACGTACAACCACTACTTAGACTTACTGTAAACCTTTTCTCCTCTTCACAGCGTTCATTTTACTATGAAAGTCAAAGTCTGACAGGGGCCAGGGAGGCAACCTGAGAGAGTGAAGGACATTTTGGAACTAACGGAAGCTGCAGCGTACAGAGCTTTTAAGGTGCATCAGATCCTTTAAAAAAATTTCATTTATTTTTATTAAAAAGACAGTTTTACAGAAAGAAGCAGAAACAGAAAGATTCCCCCCATCCACTGGTTCACTCCCAAATTGGCCACAAAGACCAGAGATGAGTTGATCTGAAGACAGAAGCCAGGAGCTCCCTGAGGGTCTCCCATGTGAATACAGGTAGCCAAGGCCTTGGGCCATCCTCCATTACTATCCCAGAGAGCTGTACAGGAAATGCAGCAGCCGGAACATGAACCAGCACCCCCACGGGTGCTTGGTGCTTGCAAGGGGTAGGATGAGCAAATTAATCCACTGTACCAGGGCCAAGTGCATCAGATCTTCAGTTCCAATTCACTATTGCCACATGAGACTAGGGTTTTTAACCTGTGATTTCTTTTCCAGAAAGATAGTCATTTTTTAAATACAAAATCATCCACCATTTAAGATTTGGCAACTATTTCAAACAGCGTTAAACACTGCATGGAACAAATATTCAAGGATGATTCATTTTCAACTCTTTTTTTTTTTCAAAGATTTTTTTTTTTTTTTCGGAAAGGCAAATTTATGGAGAGGAGAGACAGAAAGATCTTCCATTATCTGTTGATTCATTCCCCAAGTGGCCGCAAAGGCTGGAACTGAGCCAATCTGAAACCAGGAGCCAGGAATTTCTTCCGGGTCTTCCTTGCAAGTGCAGGGTCCCAAGGCTTTGGGCCGTCCTCGACTGCTTTCCCAGGCCACAAGCAGGGAGCTGGATGGGAAGTGGAGCAGCAGGGACATAAACTGGCATCCTTATGAGACATTGGCACCTGCAAGGTGAGGATTTAGCCACTGTGCCCATGCTTTCAATTTCTGACAACAATCACTTAATTTTTTTTTCTGGGGGCAGGGGTCAACACTATGGCCTAGCGAGTTAAACCGCCCACCGGCTGCAAAGCCAGCATTCCGCATGGGTGAAGGCCTGTGTTCAGGCTTCTCCATGTCTAACCCAGCTCTGAGCTGATGGCCTGCACAGGTGGTGCATGGTGCTCCAGGGAACACCTGGAGAGAGTGCCTTGCTTTCGTCCACCCATTTCTGACCCTTGCATCGGTTTGGGGAGTGAGCAAGCTGATGCACACACACTCTCTGCCTTTCAAATAAATAAATAAGAACATTTTAACATTTCCTTTTCCCTTGGCTGACCCTGACCGAAACTTAGCTCTCATGCTGTAAAGCACATCTCACTAGTTTCCAGAGAGCAGCTGTACAACACCGACTGGTTTGAACAGTCAGGGTGACCAAAGGGAGTCACTGCAGCTCTCCCCTCCTTGTCTCCAGCCTTACACAGTAGTGAGTAACGGCTGACAGGTGCCTGTATCCACGAGCTGCTGCTGAGGGAATTTCCTGTCGTTACCTGGGAAATGCCAAGGCTGGGGACACTCCTAGCTTACGTCAAAGAACAAAGTCTTTCTCCTCGACTAAAGAAACCGTAATCGTGAAGCAACACAATCCCAGGTCCCGGGGGACCAGCCGCCAAGCTAAATACAACACGCACGAGGGTGTGCGGTCTCCAGCCTTCGCTCTTTCAGAGGAGGCGAAGTCCTCACGACCAAGTCAGACCACAGACACAGCGCCTCAGCCCTGAAGAGCACGCACGCTCCTGGAAAGCCTCCATGTCTAGTTCAAGTGCTTCTTCTTTTCAGCTTTTACAATGTTTGCATTCATGATCGTCCCTAAGTAGTAACAACAACAACAAAAAAAATGCCTCTGCCGTTTCTGGAGGGGGTTAACTGTGTAAGCTATAAGAGGTTGCTAAGTTACATTGGCCGGCCTTTTAAACACCTTGCCTGGCATTTTTGTAAAGGAATTCTTTTTCTAGGTGTAACTTAGGAAAACCTAAAAACAGAAATTTTATTTCCTAAGAAGGTAGCCCAGTAGTAACTGCATGCATTCTTAATTATTTGATAACTAACTTGTAAAATCCTTGCAGTGCCCCTGTGGGCTCAGGCTGACCCAAGAGAAAGGTGCCGGCGTGACACTGGAAGTCGCTGACCTTCCCTCACACACACTCTCACTTGTTTACCTTTTCATAAAATCATTAAAGTCTTTGCCTCGTGGTTTATTCAAGTCAAATTACTCCTGCAACTTCATATAAAAAGAATGTTGAAAAATCGGTACATCATGCAGTGTTTCCATTACCACAGGTCCGTGGCAGACCTCGTGACAACGGCTTGCCATGTCTGGTGTTGTGGCTGCTGCGTGGCGTTCGAGCCACTCCCTGCAAATGCTCCTGGGACGTCAGTGGATGATGGCCTAGGTTCCTGGGTCCCTGCCACCAGAGTGGGGGACCTGGTGGAGTTCCTGGCTCCTGGCTTAGGCATGCCCCTATTCAGGCTGTTCAGGCATTTGAGAAGTGAAACAGTGATGGAAGAACTGTTCTTTCCTTTCAGTCTTTCAAAATTAAATACATTTTTAAGAAGGAAGGCTTTTGACATTCTACAGAGATTGCCAGTTCTGTTATGAAACGACGTGGTGTTTCTTACTGTTACAGGGAGTTTTCTGGTCTGAAGAGGAAAAGCAACACAAAAAAGCACAGGGAAAAAAAATGTCTAGATTTGGATTAAAAACACGCACCTGCAACTGTCCTGCTTCAAAAGGTAACTCTTTTTTTTAGCTAACTCAATGTCCCATACTGTACACAGCAGGTGCTAATTTATCTCATCCCCACGTAAAGCCTCTAGCTTATTCCTCCACACATCTGAAAGACAGGAAAAGACAGCTCCGGGGTCCAGCTGATGAACAGCAGGTTGAAGTTAGAACCCAAACCTGCCTATGGTGAAAGGCTTTTCTTCAAACAGCACAAACGTTCAAGCGAATGCCTTCACTGAAGCCAGAAAAACACAGCCGCCAGCCTGGGTTACCTAACAGTCTCTTGACGCAAGCTATAGCATCCAAGATGCCAAGAGCCTTGCACATTCCCACTGCGCACCCCACGCCGCACAGCTCCAGCAGATGTCCTTTCTGGAGGCGGTCCCGGAGGGGAGGGTACATTTGTGACAGGTAAAGGAAGACGCTGCTTTCAGAGGTGCAGCACAGGGAGGCCGTGAAGGCACCGGGCTCTGCAGGCCACCCCTGCAGCTCGGATAGAACCGACACCTGGACCGTGGGTCCCCGTGCCCTCATCGCTGCTGCTCTGGGCCTGTGCACGGTTCCGGGGCGCTACAGGATCCAGCCGCGGCCGGGACCCACCACACACCCTGGCCCTGAGCGCGGTTGCAGGGTGCTGTAAAACAGTTCCCAGGTGCTGCAGGACACCGCTGAGACCCAGGGCCCGAGGGCGGCTCCCGGACGCTGCAGGACACCTAGAGGCGCGAACCCTGGGTCTCAGAGCCCTTGCCGCTGCTCTGGGTCTGTGCACGGTTCCGGGGTGCTGCGGGACAACCCCGCGGCTCAGACCCTTCCCGCACCCCGAACCTGAGCGCGGCTCCGGGGCACTGCAGGATGGTTCCCGCACCCTTCAGGAGACCCCCGCGCCTCGGACCCTCCCCACTCCCGGACCCCGGGGCCCCACGCCCTCACCGCTGCTCTGGGCCTGCGCTCCGCCCGTGCCCGTGCCCGTGCCCGAGCCGGGAAAGGGCTCCTCGGCGGGGCCCTCGCGCGGCGTGGAGGCCGAGTGCACACCGTACGGCGGGCTCTTCTCGCCCCAGTGCAGGTTGCGGCTGCCCGGGATGTCGGGCGGAGTCGTCACCCAGTGCCCCAGCTCCGAACCCGAACTGAATGACCTGGCAGGGAAAGCGCCGCCAAAGCCCTGCTCGTCCCGGGCCCCGCCCCGGTAGCCCAAGCCATCGAAGCCCTCCGGACGGCGCGGGTGCATGGCGGCACGGCAGGACGGGCAGGGCCTCCTCGGGGGCCCACCACTCCCGGGGACCGCGATCTCGGGCCGCGCGCTTCCCCGCCCGGACCGCCGCGTCCGAGGACTCTGACAAGCGGAAACCACGCTGAAAACCCGGAAAACGGGCGAGCACGTGATCACAGGCTCTTCCGGCGGGCCCGTAGAGACTAGGTTGCTAAGGAGGAATGACGGTCACCCGGGGCGCGACCTTAAACTTGGTGTTAGGGACGAGGTGAGCAGCGGATTAGGCGTCCATGAAACGCAGTACCGAGGACTCCAGAACAGGGCTGGGTGTAGGAGGTGGTACTACCCCGGGTGGCGCAGTCGGGGGAGCAGGTGTCTTGTGAGGGAATGGCTCACGCGAGCCTGGAGCTGATGGTGTCTCGGTGCTGCCCCACGCCCGGTCCACTGGGCCTCCCTGCAGCCGCCGAGCTGCTGGAGGCTCAAGGTTGCTGGGTGTGGGTGACGTCTGCTCTAGCTTTGTCTCCGGCCCTGGCGGGGTTAGATAAAATTGTGGAGACCTGATTCCTCGCATGGAGTGCCCGGCTAGGTAACTGGACAGCAGGCGAGGGCTCTCTGTCAGGGTCGAGTGGACCCACACACGGTGCTCTCCCCTCATCACGGGATTTAGGGATAAAGAAGGGCCCTGGATTCGGAGGGGGGGACCCCTGGGCTGAGCCGCCTGCCTGCTACCTGTCTTCCTGTGCTCCATGGCTCTGGGGGCGGCGTCTCTGCTCAGGTCTCCCCAGTCCCCCCATCGGTTGTGCTGTGTCCCCGCTTTCCACTGGACGCCCAACATTCCGAGGGCTTTCAGCAGAGAACCCTGACGCACCGCTGGTCACCTTGGGCAGCTCAAGCTCGATTTAAAGGGGTAGTCAACTTCGCCTGGAGCCAACCAACAGTCTCACATTTACTTGAAAGTAAGGCAAGACCGATGCAAACGTGTCGTTAATTAAAAAAATATATAACACCACATGATTTCATGCCCACATCAGCGGAAACAGGATGGATTATTAAAAGGAGGGACTGAATAGCCAGTTCGAGGGTGGGGTGGAGAGGATGTAAAATCATCAGAAGCTTTCTGTCAAATCCCACTGCAATACATGATTTTCTTTATTTTCTAAACAATACCTGGAGAGAAGTGAATATTTCTTATGCAGTAGATTGGAAAACTTCTTATGAGTGACAACAGGTCAGGAGGTTTTTAACAAATCTGGATCAGTCAATAATTTGTATAAAAGTCTCTGAATTTTAAATGAGAAAAGAAAGTGATAGTAATCAGAATTGAAAGACAGAACTGGGGAAATGACATTTTTCAAAAGAGTGCTTATCCTTGAATAAGGGCAAATCAGTACAAATATAAGCAAAATATATTAAGAGGCAGTTAAAGTGCAAGTGGGTTGTAAGGGAATCAAGCTTCTAGTAATTAAAATGGTAAATAGCAATAATTATCTATTAAAATCCCAATATTTAGAAGACAAATTCTCATTCACTGCATAATATACAACTTAGCAGCTTTCTGATGGAGAGCATTTTAACAGTGTATCAGGAACTATGAAAGTGATCCTATCTTTTAACTTCTCAAATATAGGGAAAGGAATGAACGATTTATTTCCTAAACATGCTTTTGGCATGTGTGAAAATAATTAACATGTGTGTGGCCCAAGATAGAAGAAAAACTGGAAGAAATCTGAATATTAAGCCATTATTAATAAGCATTATTGTTTTCAAGTTAATTATTAAGACAATATGTTCACGAAGTCCTTTAATTAGAATATATTCCTGAGCATATGTGCTTGATCCTGGAGTTTGTAATGAAGACGTAGTGATGAATTTAATTAGCTAGGTAAAAAAAAATCTGCATTTTAGGGCTGACATTCTAGGTTAGGTAGATGAATAATAAGAATATTATGTCAAGAAATCAAACATGTGGTACTTGACATAATGCCATGATTATGTTGAACTGAGAAACGGAGGCAGTCCTTTGAAAGTCAGCTTTTTCAGAGCAGGAAGTGTTATTAGAAAGAGTAGCTTTGACCAGAGACTGGGAAGAAGTATTGAGTGGACCCTGTGCCAACACCTGGGACGGGGGCATCTTCTAGGCAGGGAGAAGCCTCAGACCCTGACAACCCAGCTGGGTGGCAGTGAGGAAGGACGCCAATGAAAGGATACGAGAGCTGAGAGACCAGGAGCCTCTCGCAGGAGGAGAAAAGGCGGCTTTGTGCTGAGGTTAGGGGAAGGATGTCACCTCACTGAGTTTGCACTCAAGGACCAGGATGACTTCCGCATAGGGCAACACTTGAAACCTCTGCTGTTTAGCAGGCTGAGCTGTGGAGGTGAGAGATCATGGTAGCTTTGGTCTTGAGTGCTACTAGTGAAGGAGGAAAAGCACGTAGAATCCAGATAGGGAAAGATTAATTTAGAGGTGGATATTGAATAGTGTGAAAATGTTCCTATAAAAATGTATACATCATGGTCTCACTCTGTAAAGACATTATACTCACATAGAGAATATGGCAAAATAAAATTACGCAGAAGCATGTATGCTAAGTAATTAGCTTTTTCCTTGTAGTTTCTAATTGCTCTATAAAAAAGTCTTTTTCTAAGAAGAACTAACTTGATTCAATAATTCAAATAGCTGATTCAGTCATTCAGTTATGGGAAGACAATAGCAAAGCTATTCCTGGATTACTAGATCTGTTCATGGGATTAAATCGGCAAATTGCAGAACACCATCGAAATCCTATCATGAACACCATCGAAATCCTATCATTTGATACCTTTTCAAAATTTCTTTAAAATAATGATGCTGAAGCAGTACAGAGTTTGGAGTTTTGAACTAAATTAGCACACTCATAAGAAATTAATTAAAATATGCACTCAGAAAGTGACCAACATTCATTGACGAGAGTAACAGATGAATATTTGCGGTTAGTATTCATTTGTGGCTTAATGTACCTTATCTCCCAGGACAAACTTAGAAGCTAAAAGCATATCCTGGCTTCTGTAATTCAACAGAGGAGCCAGCTTCTAACGAGGATACAATTGAAATATGGGTAAATGCAATGCAATTCTTAAATTATTGTTTCGTCGGCTTCGGCCTCTGTATACCTTCCTAAGATGGATGAATGATTTAATATCACTTGAGCTTTGAGTGCCGTTCTCTGTTGGTAGGATACCAGGCACCATTCCACTGGTGAGCATGAGAAATCGAAATGTTTGGCAGAAGGAACAGATAATACAGCAAGAACTAAATGCAATTATAGACTCGTTGATAAATTGATTTCACAGTTAGTAAAAAGTTGTGATTTTTCAAAGTTGTTCCATGGCAAAAATTACTAATTGTGAGGTAGCCAGTAGTTCAAAGTGATTAGCATCTTCTCATGAAAATACTTTCTAAAAGTTTGTTAAACTTATTCACTCAGAAGGGAGCGCATGTGAGGAGTGACTTAAACATCAGCCCTGAAGATTAGTAACTACACTCACGCCGTCTCAGACCCAGTGCCATTGTAGGTATTGGAACCTTGTGGCACCGTGCCCTCAGGTGCCGCCCACCAATCCCTCACGACCCCATACTTCCAATACCCGCCCCCTTGCTATAAAAGCATGCTTTCTCACACGTCCTGCTGCCACCTTTTGCTGGAATAAGGACCCCCTGCGTGACTCCGTGCAGGTGGCATTTTGAGTCCGTGGTAAAAGTTCTTCCTAACAGAGCTCTCTCCTCTGGTTCACCCCTGGGATGACTGGGCTGTGTTCAGGCATGGCTGGAAAGCAGAACCCCATTAGAAGTAGATTTCCCGTGTGGGTTATAGGCACTCGATGGCTTGGGCCGTTACCTGCTGCCTGCTAGAGTTTCCGTGAGCAGAACCTTGGAGTCAGGAGCCAGCAAGCAGCCAGCACGCTCTGTAACGCAGCTCTGTAATGTGCAGCCTCGAGACCCTTCCCCCACGATTCACTTTTCATATCGCTTGTTCTGGAAAATCTATTCTGATCTAGGATGCCAGTTACAATATTAGAGACTAGTCTGAAACATGCTAATGAACACGAAGACTGTATGCACAATAGAATGAATTGACATTTGGAATATAAAGAAATGGAAGGAGCGAAACAAGATTTTGAGAAATTTGGTCAAAGAAAATGTAATGAATATTTTAAGTTGTCTAGCTCTCAGAGCTTTGTGAGGCCCCGTTGTGTGATTTCTTTAGAAGGAATTCAGTAGGTGCTGCAGGAGACAAGGGAGGGTGGCCCTGAACTCTTCGTCCTGGAAGGCTCTGAGCACGGGGTGAATAAGTGCTTCACCCAGCACTCTTCCAACTGAAGGTAGCAGAAACACAACGTGATGCTTGTTGAAAGGACAAGCGATAGCACATCTTGCGTGGATCACGTATTTTTATTTTGTTTTAAAGATAGAAAATGTGCTAAACAAGAGGAGCAGACTTACTTGGTGCTTTTTAGCAGCCGGAACAATCCGTATTTCTATTTCAAGTTCATACCCGTTAGCTTTGCTTTCAAATCACCTGAACTTTAAGGCTATTATTGTATGGAACAGGGTAATTCCTGTTTGTTAGTTCTGAAATTAATAACAAATTCCTTTCACAGTTTTCGCACATAGTAAGATTTGTGAATATTTGTGAAGTATCTGATTTGCTCATGTTTGGGTATTCCTAGGAATTTTGTTAAGGATTCAAACTAGTTCGTTTCATTGGATACCATCATTTAAAACAGGCTCTGTTTTTGAGCTTGAACCGCCCTCTTGTGGCTAGCGTACTGTATAACACCCTGAATGCTCTTCATCCGTAGGCTGGAGCTGAGTGTGTCGCCTTCAGCCTTCAGATTTTCTCTGCCCTCACTGTTCCGAATAGCGATTTAACTCTAAGATACCTAGGTTTGCTTTGTCAGGGTACTGTTTTGACGAGCGCGGTGAAAATGTAGACTCAGGGGAGAGACGATCAGCTTCGGAGGAGGCATTAAGACACGAAGGCCATGATCAAGCAGTCAAGCTTAGCTAATGGACGG